CTGAACCGCATAGCCAGCTTCTCTCGGTGTGAGAAGCTTTACTTTCCCGTCCCTTAACTAAACATAGGGAAACATCAAAGAGTTAATGGTCTATTATGATGAACGAGAAAATCAAGCACGTTCCAATCATATCTGCTCCTTTTCATTTCACGAAACGCTTCAATCATCAGAAACAATGGCGTAACCAGACGCTCGAGCTCCTTCATCAACCATGGATTGACCGTACAACAGCGCGCAGGATTACAACATTTCGACGCAAACACTATGCCGATTCTTATGCACGAACCGCGGAAAACCCCGTCTCTTAATTACGATCAAGATCGAAATTTTGAACAAAAACTCGACGACCCACATCGAAATTCCTAAAAATTGGAGTTAACACCGATGAAATTTTCTGAAATCAAGCTCGAACGATAGCTTCAACGGAATATGATTTTCCGGGAAAATATTTCCCAGCTGCGAAAAACCAGAAAAGTGTTTGGTTATGGCGAGATCCAATTAAAAATCTCAAAATTGTCAACCTGGGTTCCTGGAAAGGTCGACGGGAAATTTTCCGGAGAGATTAGCTGCTCTCGAGTTTCATAAATTTTACGGAACCTTCTTCGTAAAAAGAAATCCCTTTCCTCAAAATTGAACAACGAAAATTATGCGGAGCTTATTATAGAGATCTGCACCTCCATGAAATTAAATTGGCTATTTTGGTATCATAGCACATAAATTCCATTCTTGTTCATAGCTGTTCCCCACCTTCTCTCTTTTTTATATATTTGTAAAGTCCAGCTCTATAAATAATTTAAATTGTGTACATTCCATTTTGCAAATGAAGATGAAAGCCATATTGTTCTTTGTTCCTTGCACCCCTATTATTTTATGAAAGTGCCTTTCGGATGAATTTTAGATCCCAATACAAAAAGTAAGATTTGAAGATATGATGCATGAATGCTTGGACATTGTATAGCCAAATTGAAATGAAACAAAAGATAGAATTATTTGCACATGGGGGTTAGATTGACTTATTTAAAATATTATCAAGTTTGGATTTGATATTATCGACTTGAATTTTATGTTAGATCTTAAAAAAAACAATGTAATTTATAGAGATTTATCTAGTACAACTATTTATTTAATTCATCCTAACTGAACTTGATTTGCATTAATCAATAGTTTCCATAATATATTTTAGGTAAATAATTAATTATATGATTATCTAACCACGACCGATTTTAGAAATTGATTAGAATATATGTGGTGGGTTTTGAAGGATTAATGAGTCCATATATTAAAGGATAAAGTTAATGAATTGAATGATAAGATAATAAAGGATTATTTGGGTTTAATGAAAGAGGAAATTTGTGCTTTTATGTCAGATGTGTCACATCATTTGAAATGTATATTTTTTTTTTTCTATTTTGCAAAGTATACATTAATATTAATTTTGAACAAGAATGGCATCGTTTGTAATATCGAATATTAAATGTGTTATTAACTTTCTCCCTCTAAAAAACGGACACGCAATTCTACTAAGTTGTTGTCAGATATAACTGTGATTGTAGTTTTCTTTCTTACCGACATAGATGAAGTACTCGGGAATCAAATTTTGGAGGTTTTGCAAAGGTAATGTTTTCAGAAACTTGAATTTTAATGTCACTTGAATCCCGTATACTGGACTCGGCTGACCGGAACATCTAAAACTATTTCGGTATCTTAGTTATTCGAGTGTGTTAGTATGTGTCTTTGGAGTACCGTACTAAGTTCAGTCAGGAAGTTTAATTGGTTCGAGCTATTGTTGGACGGATAAACCGGACTGGACTGATCGGGATATTCAATATCGTCTGGTATATTACATGTGCCGGATTTACATATATCTGGGCCATTTAGACATTGTCCGGGACGAATAATGGTCTCCACTTGTGGAGATCTGGTCGAGAATGTTAGAAATAGTCTGGTAGGATAAATGATGTGAACATGTGGATTATCCGTCCGGGCTAATGTTGATATTCGTAAATGTTCGATCGAGACTTTATGAAATTGTCTGGGAGTAATTCCCGGAGTCCGAATTTATTGAACGGTCCGGACGATAATTATACAAATATTCTGTGAGGACGTCTTGTTCAGGCTTGTCGACAATTCGTCCGAGGAATTAACAAAAAACTTAGGGGGTCGAGTCTTCGTGGAATGATGAAGAAACAGTAGCCTGATTTTTTATGCATGTGTGAAGGTCTAAACTTATATGTAACATGCAATGTATGCATGAAAGCTCATGGTTCGGGATACGTTAGTATCGTCCTCTCCCCATACTTGAATTAGACGTCGTCCTCGATGTCAACTCACATCTAGCGGGGAGGAAAGAGAAGTAAATTGATGAAGAGGAAAGAAGAGGAAGGTAAGTTACCTCTTCCTTCCCGTCAGTTCCT